GGGCGCCGTCAAGGAGTTCGTGGCGCGGCCCGGCGCCGCGCGCCGCCCCGGCGCCCGCCCGCCCGCCGCCGACGCCGCCGAGTACGGGTTCCGCAAGGAGCGCGCCGCGCTCGAGCAGCTCCGCGGCCACCGCAACATCGGTACCGGCACCGGGCCCCGCGGCGGGCTGCGCCGCCCGGCATGCCTCCCTCCCTCCGTCCCGGGGTGTCCCCCTTCCCGGGCCCGCGGGAGCTCGGCCCTGCCCCGTCCCGGGCCTGCAGGCCCCGTGGAGCTCGGCCCGGCCCGCAGGGAGAGGGAGGATGGACCGGGAGCTGCCCCCCATCCCCCCGACTTCCCTGCGATATCGCCCTGCTTCCCACCCCGGGGTGTCACCCTGCTCCCCGTGTCCCAGGGGCTGCCCTGCTCCCTGCCCTGCTCCCAGCAGATCCCTGTGGCGCTGTGTAAGGCCCAGCTGCCTCCAGCACCGTTGGATCCGGCGGGTGGTTGTTGCGGGCGGGACGCGGGCCTCGCCGCCGGGCGCTCACGCTTCTCCCCGCAGTGACGCTCTACGGCGTCTTCACCAACCACTACTCGGCCAACGGCCCGTCCCGCTGCCTGCTGCTGGAGCTGCTGGACGTCAGCGTGTCCGAGCTGCTGCTGCACTCCAGCAGCCAGGGCTGCTCCATGTGGATGATCCAGCACTGCGCCCGCGACGTCCTCGAAGCGCTGGCCTTCCTGCACCACAAGGGCTACGTGCACGCCGACCTCAAGCCGCGCAACATCCTGTGGAGCGCCGACGAGGAGTGTTTTAAGCTCATTGACTTCGGGCTTAGCTTCAAGGAGGGGAATCAGGTTTGGCTCCCGGCTGCTCCTGAGGTTTTGGGTGGGAGGAGAGCTCGGGTTGTGAGGAAATCAGGATGGGGGCTGTCTGACCTGACATTCCTGTGTATGGGACTATAGGAGCCCGTGTGATGAGCGTAGTAGAAGAGTTGACATTAAGGCTTTCCTGGAAGGTTAAAATGCTGTTTGGCCCTTGAAACAGAAGCTTGTGTTTGCATTCYCCTGGTGTGCCTCCGGTTCCGGATATAGCAGCCGGTGCGTTGGTAATGGAGGCTTCACCATCAGCCTCTCCGGTTCACAGCGCCCACTCTGGCACTTTTTCTTGTGGTTCCGTCCTCTCTTCCTCAGCCTCCCCTTTCCTGTAGGTCTCTATACTCTGTGTTGACCCAAGCTCAGGTAGGTAGCATCCATTCTTGACAGACATWAAGCAGAACAGCCAAAGACTTGTCGCCTCCTCTCCTGGTTGCTGAGGTTTCAGACCCCTTTCAGACCGTCACTTCTTGAGGGTTGGCCTTGCCCTTTTTACTCTCTCCAGTGGCCTTTGAGGAAAACGGGCTGCTCAGCTTGCTGCAGAGAGCCTCAGGAGGTTCAGTGGTCAGCTTGGTGGAATTTCTTCTCGTTCTTCCCTCTCTCCTAGCAGCTATCTATGAGGGGTATCAATGAGGSTTTTTGCTCAGAGATCCTCTTAGCAAATTTGCTTCTGTTCACCTGGTGGCGTGTGGCAAGGAGCCTAGTGAACAAGCTGTGATTTTGCTTTGCAGGTGTTCTGGGTTGTCTCTCTTGCACCTTYCTCATCTGGAGGCTTTAAATTCRTATTTTGCTTGTGGTTTACCTGGTRTTGACAACAAAACTCACTGATCTGCGAGTGTTAGAGGACTGCCTGAGTGCCTAACACTGAATTTTTTGGTTGCTGGTTTTAATGTGTGTCCTTCTTRAGGACTCCTTACTGTTGTTCACTTCTGTAATGCTTTTGGCCAAACACCGTTTTGTGTTGGTAATGTCTTGCTGTCTATCAGCAAAAAACACTCTCCTGTTATCCTGTGACTGATACATATATATATATATTTACTTTTTTTTTTTCTCTCTGGGTCTGTGCGTTGCTGATTGCGCTGTGAGTTTCCTCTTCAGCAGACGACCTTGTGTTTCACTGGCTTCTACTGTTCCTCCTCACGGGCTCTCTTTGGCTTGGGCTTCCTCTGCCCGTTCTCAGGAACATCCTGGCTGGCTGGATGAACCTCCTGACCCTGCCTGCCTCGCTTGCCTTATCTGAGCCCAGATCACACTGCAGGCATTTGGGACAGCTCCACAGAGCTTTTCCTTACATAACTTTTGCTGCTGTTACTGTTTGATGGGGGTGCATAGGGTGAGGTCTCGGCCACTTAAATGTCTCACAAAACTTCATGTGCTAGGAGTGAAATTTGGGTATTTTTGCTGCTGGTGTTGATCACAGAGTTTCCTCCATCTTCCTTGTGCTACTTGTTGTCTAACTGYTCTCTTTGCTGATGGGGGCAGGGACCCTTCTGAGCAGCCTGTATGTTTGGTTTTAGTTCTAGTGATTTTAAGTTTGTAAAGCACTTCTCCCTTTGTCACCTACAACTATATTTTCATAGAGGGCAAACAACCAGGTAATTTTGGTGTAAATACATTCCCAGTGTAAGGATTCCGAATCCTGTGYTTTATCTGGGAAGCAGGCTTACTCGCATTACAGTGTTTTAGAACAGACCCCTGGTATCCGAAGGGAGCGTGCAGCTCACGGCTGGAGGCTCACGGGGCTCGACCGGGCCGTGCTGCAGCCCATCGGATCTCAGTTCGGCTCAGGGCAGGCATTTGGGCTGGAGATGTTCAGAGCAGCCCTTCCAACAAACATTTCCTGAGTCTGATTTTCCCGTTTCCTTTCCAGCAGACAGTGTGGGGGTGTTTTGCTCTCTGCAGCCCCAGCAGCTGAGCAGTTATTGATTGCTGCAGTGCTGCTGACTGCAAAGCAGGGGAGGAGAGAGGTGCGTGGGAAGCGCCTTTGGTAATTTCCCTGTCGGGGTTGGATGCCTTCCTTGTTCTTTTAACATCTTTTTTTTTCCTGTGAGCACCAGTAGCTGAATAATGCAAGCACTTACTGAAACTCACTGTTCGGGCTAGGCTACTCGTGCTCTTGTTCACTTGATGGGGGGGCACAGTGTGGATATTCAGCACTTGCACCCTGAAGTTTCCAGAGTTATCCACGCCTGGATTAATGGGCCAGCCTGCAGTGAACTCCAGGATTTGTATTAGGCCTCTTTCCTCCCAGCAATGCCTTCTTCCTGACAGACTGGATGTTGCTGAGATTCTTACTGTGTTGTTGGGAGGTGTTTCCTCTTCTAGGCTATTTATTTATTTATTTGCCCTCATCAGCCCAGAAGTTTAGTAAGTTGAACTACCTGTCTAACATGACTGGCTCTCAATTTGGCATCAGTATTTAGCTGACCCGTTTGGAAAGGCCTGTAAGCTGACTTAAGGGTRGAATGGAAAACCTGTGTCGGGAAAATTTAACTTCTTGTGTTTGCTTTATCCCCTGTAGGATGTGAAGTATATTCAGACAGACGGGTATCGGGCTCCRGAGGCAGAACTGCAGAACTGCCTGGCACAGGCAGGGCTCCCGAGTGAAACGGAGTGCACCTCTGCTGTGGATCTGTGGAGTCTGGGCATCGTCTTACTGGAAATGTTCTCAGGAATGAAACTGAAACACACAGTCCAATCTCAGGAATGGAAGGTGAGTGAGAGCTGCTGCTGGTGTTTGTGCTTATACCAAGCAGGACCTTGTGCATCCTCTTGGTAACCTGAGCTTGTGATATGGCACCCAGGAAAAGGAGGTTAGGCATCACTTCCTGAAGTGGAGGAGCAGGGCTCTAGTACTGTGACGTTACAACARTCTTTGCACTAGTGTTTTCCTTCCTCACTAAGCACTGCTGCTTTTCCTTTCCAGACAAACAGTTCKGCCATCATAGATCGCATTTTTGCCAGTGAAGGGGTGGTTAATTCAGCCATTCCAGCTTATCACCTCAGAGACCTTATCAAAAGGTACCTTCTAACAAATGTTTCTTAATGTTATGCTCTTATACTTGGAAAGCCTTGTGCCTTGCTTCTGGTGACTTGGAGCCTGCAGCTCACACTGGTTGCTAAGCTCCTTCTTGTAAACTGGCTTCTGAACAAAGCATCCGCCCTGCTGTTGTGCTGATAACAAGTGGGAGCCTTAGCAGGGATGCTTCAGCCCCTCTGGTTTTGGCACAGCTTGCAGTGAGCTAATGTCAGTCATAATGTTTCAGCAGCTTTGAGTGCCATTTGCAAAGAGGTTTGGGACTCAGAATGTCCTCCCTTCCGTGGGACTCTGTGTGCCTGTCTGAGACGAGGGGTGCATGTTCTGGACAGGTGGAGCTGCAACATGTGTATTTTGTAAGCTCGGGAATGAGCAACATTCTGAAGGATTGTACTGCACACCCCAAACACTTCCAAGTTGTGCTAGTGTGCTTGCAGCTCCGAATGGGGAGACCTGCTTCTGCTCTTCTTGTATCATCAGCACCCCAAAAATATGGGCAGTTCTTCTGTACTGGCTTCCAGCTTGCCGTGGACTTGCAGGTGCCCGAGTGTCCCTTCTCTTGCAGCATGCTTCATTGTGACCAAGGACAGCGAGCCTCTGCCGAGACAGCTCTGTGCAGCCCCTTCTTCAGCATCCCCTTYGGTAAGCGCCGCGCGTGGCCCTGCTCGCAGCCTTCTCGGGCAGGGCAGGGGTGCACTTGGACCGGGGGGTTCTGGGTTCTGCCCCCTTTTTGCCCCCTCTTGTCCTCTGTGGCACCCGTGAGCCCTGCTGCGGTGCCAGGAGCTCTTGGTGTCTCTCCTGGTGGCATCTGAAGCTGCCTTTGCTTCGGCAGGCTCAGCAATGCCAGGTGGTTATCACAGTGCCATGTGGGCTCTGGCAAAGGGGGTGCAAGCCTAATTTTGCAGGGACTTAGAGCTCAGGGCCTACCTCTTCTGGAGCCAACGTGGCAAGTCAGAAACATTTGTGGTCCTTCCGATGCCACTGAAGATAGAGTTTTGCCAAGRTTCCCCACACGAGTTGCACATTATCCCCACAAGATGCACTGGGATGACTCTCCTTAGCCTTCTGTCCCTCCTGGTTTTCCCTTTCAAAAGCAGTGCAGGAATGTTCTCCAGAGCTCGTCTGCTTTCAAGGACAGCCGTGAAGAGCTCTTCTGCTGCATAAATCAATGCTTAGGGCAGCCAGCTCCTAGCTGTACTAGGGTTCTCTTGAATGTCAGCCATGCTTTTCATTATCTGCCTGACCTACCTTGCAGTGAACATTAGCTGTTGCCTCTTCTGAGGCTGCATCAAGATGCTGACAGCCCTATTTATTAGGCAAAGGTAGCAAACTCGTCCCTGTTTCCTTCTGTAGGGAGACTGCATCTCAGAAACTGGGGCTGTTGTGATCAAAGTCACCTTCCATGAACCCTGCAGCCAGTACTGCTTTAGAGCAGAGGGAACAGTGGGCAGGCAGTGCTCCCTGGTGTAGTTTTGAACACACAGCCCTCTAACTGTGCCTGTTTGTACTGGAAGGTGCTTTTGTGGTTGGTCCAGCAGCTTTATGCAACAACTTCAGGGTTTCTTAGGTGCTGGCTCTCTTCTTTGCCAAATTGGTGCTGTCAGCTTGTCTGCACAGAGAAGCATTTSCTGTTCCTTTCCTAGGAAGTCAGAAAATTTTCCCTGTCGTTACTTTTCACTTGGATACAGTCAGTCTGCTTAGAATGGAGATGTCTGAGCAYGGTTTTCCCTGTTGTTCACAGCCAAGTCGTGGCTTTCCCCATCAGCAGCTTCTTTCCTGAGCTGCTCACAGGCTGTGGCCCTCTGTGGTGTGAGTGTGGTCGATACCACCAGGGACTTCAGAGCAGGAGCAGAGACACGGAAGCACCTCCTAGCACAGGGGGGAATTGCAGGAAATGTGTTTCTCACTTGGTTGTAGGAAAAACAAATAGTTTTAAGTACTAGGGGTTTGTTTATCTCCCTTCCTTGAGAAAAGGACACATGGAATGAAAGGCAGACTTGAATAGAAAGGGCCCACGATAAGACTGAGGCAACAGTTAAGTTGTTCTTCCAATCTCCTGTTCCCCTCATGTTGTCTCTTAATTGCCAGCAGAGCTGTGGAAGAATGGCTGGGAGGGTTTGCTTGCAGCTGGGACGTGCCTGCTTATCTGAATGTGACAYTTTTTCCCAAAGAGCTGGCCCTGAGCACTCTCTGCTGTAGGCTGTGCTGATAAGGCCCTACACCCTCTAGGTTTTTCATCAGGAGTCTTCCAGCATTACAAAACGACAAAAGGTTATTTGCCCCTATGCACAGTATTTAGTTGCTCTAGGGAGTTAAAATGTCTCCGCTGTGATTTTTACCGTCCATCCTGGAGCTTTGTCCTTGAAGCTGGATTTGGGAGCGTGGATTGCATGCCTTTGCCTTAAAGGAGCAATCCATGAGCACCAGATCTCAAGCAGAACTTCAGATATGAGAACCGCAAGGTACTGGTATCATGTTCTGCCCTTGTTGCTTCCAAATACAGTACTGGCTAACAAATAAAAATCACAACTGCTCTGCTGGTCCCTTTCAAGGATTTGGAATCAGGCTTTTATCCTTGGAGAAGTGACACCGTCCACCTTTGCTGCTTTAGGTTTCCAGAAGTCCCTTGTCTTCCCTCCAATTAAATCCCTGCAATGTGGCACTAATCTGCCCTCCTGGACTGCTCCTTAGTTCCTAAGGAGGACGGGTGCAACATTATCCCCAGTCSTGTGAGAGCTGGACCCATGGCCCCAGGCTTTATTTCTGCTCCTGGAAAGCTGGTCATAGGCTCACTGCTTATCTGCCTCCCTCTTGTGGTCATTCCCTGTGCTGTGCCATGGCATTAAGTTGTTCATTTGGTTTTCCTTTTCTTTCTGCCCGAATTACMTGGTGCTCTTTGAAACAGCGGGCTGAAGTTGGATTTTGGAGGGGGCTTTTGTTTGCCRTGGCATTTAGGCAGCAACTAGGAGGCATCCTAGAGGGAGCTGAGGCCTGTGCCCTGGTATCTCTTAGGAACTGAGGACAYGGAGGCTGGTCAGCCTGTTTTCAGCTTGGGTGGTACCACCAAAGTGGGAATCTCTGCATCCTGTTACTGCAAGTAGTTCTTCTTTCATCTCCTTGGATCCCCGTATATAAAGGGGCAGGTTGCTCGGCTATCCTAGCCATTGACTGATGCATCTATTTCTAATTATGAGCTAAGAATCACTCTTACGGGGATTATGGATCAGTTTATGGGAAGCTAGTCATAATCCCAAGAGTTTCTTGGGAGAAGAAACTCTTCTCCCAAGAAGAGAGGGAGAAATGAGGGAGAGTTTCAGTGAAAAGCAATCTACTGGGAAGAGTGGGTAAAAGCTGTAAGCACAAGTAATAGTAGGAGAAAAACTGCTGTGGAGAACAGTAAACACTTGTGTATGATAAGATTGCATATTACCTCTACTCCCTGCTATTTTGTTACTTTGGCCTTTCTTGTTTTTCCTCTAACTTCGTGGGTGTCCAACAGCTCCCCATATCGAGGATCTGGTGATGCTCCCGACCCCTGTGCTGAGGCTGCTGAATATTCTAAGTGATGCTTCTCTACAGAGTGAAGAAGAATACGAAGGTTGGTTTCTGCTGTGAAATTCCCATGTAGCCACATTGTCCGAGAAACTCTGTTTTGTCTGGAATTGGGACATGGGAGCAGGTGAAGGAGTATGTAGTAGGTGTAAGGAGATCAAGCAAGGAGTTTCTTAGCTGAGGTGGGTGAACTGTGTCGACAGAGGATAGACTGGAACTAAAAGATGGAGACAGTTTGTAGTAAGTCTCTGGGGAAATCCAAGATTTTTTTAAAAAACAGTTTCATTTCTTCTTTTTTTTTTCTTTTTTTCTTTTTGGTTAAGTGCCCACAAACCTTATGTGTTTGTGGCTCTTGGCTTCTGCTGGCTGTGGCCAGAACCTTGTTGAGCCCAGCAGCAGGAATCCTCCTGTGCTAATCAGCTAATCCAGGATGCTGACAAAGAACTTGACTTGTTTGAGTTCTTCAGCTCTAGCAGAACCGTGCGTGATGGGAGGCAGGGCATGTTTGTGAACTCCTATTTCTGCTTGCCCTCAAACCCAAGTAAGTGGTAAAAGCTACAGAGCTTACTCTGGGGATGTGAGTTTAGAAGTTTGAGTTGTGCTCACACAAAGAAGGGTTTGTAGCAGCTACTTTGGTTCCCCTCCTCCAAGCTGCATGGCCCCCCTAAAGAAAGCTAACAAATATTGAGTGTTTGAATGTTGTAGCTGCAGGAAGGCCGAGGTTTGTGTGTGCRAGGAAAGGCTCTGGCCATGTGCTCCAAGCCCCATTCTCAGAAGGATTCGGTGCCCTGCAGGTCTGTGTTGCTGGGCCCCAGTTTGGACACTTTGCCTTGTGGTCTGGCTGTTCAACAGGGTCAGTTCCTCCGTGAAGTCCCTGGATTATTTACCTTAAACTGGGAAGGAGGAAGAAATATATGTGTTGACTAAATGTTGAATGGTTCACCTGGCACCCCTTCTTAACTCATCCCAGTTTGCAGAGTTAAAGAACCAGCTTTCTTTCCTCAGATATCCTGGAAGACATAAGGGAGGAGTGTCAGAAATATGGTCCGGTGGTTTCCTTGCTTATTCCAAAGGAGAATCCTGGTAAAGGCCAAGTAAGTGAGCGGAGGGAAGAGGCTCTGGATTCCCATATTCACTGCATGTGTCCCAGCACAGCTTCTCTGTTAAAATTTCCTGGCTGRTGACAGTGCCAGGTATATAGCTGCTTACCTTGAGAGACAGTTGGGGTTCATTTTGCATGCACAAGGGGACCCCAGAGAGGATCTGGGCTGTGAGAGAGAAGAGGAGCAAACGGTGGGTAGGAGAGGAAGCATTGAGGATGTAGAGCCTCAACGTGTTTTCCCATCTTTCCAAGTGCACTCCCTCTAGAAATGGGGGACARGAGGTGAAATTCCAGTTCAGAGGCACAACAGCTCCCTTTCTATTAGCTCCACATTTCTGTGCTCAACCACGGATGCAGGGAGAAGATTTGATGAGCAGCCGTTTTCCTGAACGTGGGAGGGCCTGCAAGGCCCCTGCAGTGGAAGTGCAGTTTCTCTTCTCTCTTCCAGGTCTTTGTTGAATATGCAAACGCTGGCGATTCCAAAGCTGCCCAGAAAATGCTGACCGGCAAGATTTTTGATGGCAAGTTTGTTGTGGCTACGTTTTACCCGCTGAGTGCCTATAAGAGAGGATATCTGTACCAAAACTTGCTGTAGGCAGTAGCAACAATCAGGAGAGTTGTTTCGCTCCTCTTCCTCACGTCGTGTTTTACAGTTGAATGTACGAAGAGCTTCCTAGCCCAGCTTTTAAGTCATCTGTAAAGGAGGGATGCAAAGGACTGAAACGGGCTTTGAAACCTTTGCTGCTGCTTTGTGATGTGCAGAGGAGGCCTGGATGGCTTTAGGCGTGTGCTTGTGTGTGTGCTGTGCTTGCTCGTTTACATGATGTGTGTGGCTTTGCCTGCCCTTGGCAGGCACTCAGGTGACCAGAGTCGTGACTACGGGGGCCTTGGGGGCAGAGCAGACCTTGACGGACACTTTTAAACATTGAATTGAGGCAGTTCCACAATTTGGCCCTAGAAATTGCTTTTTTTCCCCTCTTTGGGCAGGAGGTATCTTTGTGTAAACTATTCCACCTGCCCAGCAGGACTGCTGTCCTCCAGTGGGGAGGTGCAGAGAACCCTTGCTGGCTTTTGGGGCTCTCTGTGGTACATGAAGCAGCAGCCTCCCCTCTGAGSCGCATCAGGAGGCGCTCGAGCCTTCACGTGGCCAGGAGCAGCCGTGACCCGAGGTCGGCTGGGCCTGCGGAGACGCTCTCACCCACCCGTGACCCGAGAGGAGCCACACGTCACTCCTGGCATAGGCGGCCCGTGGGCTCGTGGTGTGGGTGAGGGCACCTGCAACGAGCTGAGCTCGTGTGGGAGAGGAGCTGTCTTCAGAGCAGGGCCAGCCTCGGCCCCAAGAGCAGCGGTAGCGCTTGGTAGCCTCAAGGGATGTGAAAGCTCTTGCCACGCGGAATCATCTTSGCAGCTCGTACCCTGCGCTGGCACTGATGCTCGCACCTCTGATGCCAAATCATCCRTAGTATGGAAGTGTCTTTGGGTGGTGTGTCTCCAGCAGGACTGCCGCAAGTCTCCTGCGGGAGARCAAGCCTTTGTGTGCTGTGGGTTCCACGCTTGGCTTTTCCGTGTTGTGCGTTTTGGTTTCGCGTTAACCCGTTGAAATTGTTGTAGCTGAGAAGCACTGACACTTTTGGTCCCTGGTGCGTTACACAGAGGGCCTGGGGCAACCCGAGAGCCAGGGCTCGGTCCCGAGCGTCGCCTCCCGGACAGGGACGACGGCCACGGGGTTTTGGGGCTGCAAACTGAGCGCTGTGTCGTGCCCTGCTCCCAGGGCTTTTCCGCAGGGACAGAGGGTCGCTCCCGAGCCGGAGAGCAGGAGGCTGTGCCCGTGTTGGTGACAGACAGAGCCCTCCAAGCTGCATGAATTCCTATCCCCAGCTGAAATTCCTGGGCCAACAGTGGAGTCCCCTTGGAGTCAGCACCCTGCACCTGCTGGTGCTGGGCTGGCTGGGATCCTGTGGGAAATCCCGCYTGGATTTCGCCCTGTGCACACAGTGCTTTGGGAGAGCTGCTCTCTGTAACACGACACGAGTCTGCGCYCTTTGCTGGCGTGAAGTCCTGTTTGCTCCAGCCCTTCCCGAACCTCCCCAGGACGGACCAATGATTTTATTTTATTCCTTTTTTTCTTTCTGTAGCTGTGAGGTGGTAGACTTTCCGGGGAAAAACCCCAAAATGAGCTTTTAAGATGTGTGATTTGCTGATGAGGCTCTTTCCAGAGTGCGGGTACTTGGGTGTGCGCTGCTCTAGAGCAGCCTGGCATGGGTGGGGGTTGTGGTTCATTTGCTTTTAATTTGGCTGCCCTTGCAGCGAAGCACCATTAGCGTCTGGGAAGAACTGGATAATCAATCGGAGGAGGGCTTTTGCGTGTGTATGTGTGTGGAAAAGCAGCATTTCAATTGCTATAAGTATTCTAGCTGCTGGTAAATATTGCCGCTTTGTCAGCCCGAGTTGCTGCTGCGTGTGGCAGGCCGAGCCCGCGCTAAACGCGGGTGGGTTCGGGAACGGGCCGCTCGATTCCATCCCGGGAGCAGCGGGAGGCTGGCTGGGTGCCCGCGGGAGCCGCCCTGCGTTTCGGGCTGGCCTGGGCTGCTGCTTTTAGGGTTTGTTTTACCCCGTTTCCCCGCTCCCGGCAGCAGTGCAAGGCACCGGCGTGCGTGTCCCGCATGCGCCACGGCGCGCGCCGCGTGCCCCTGTCCCCGCGCGTGGCCCTGTGGCACCAATAAAGGACGCTTCAGTACSAGGTGTGTGCGCCGGCCTCTGCGGGACCACAGGGGCTGGGGGAGCGACGGCCGCCGCCCCCGGGCCTGCTGCGCCCCGATCCCGTGCCCCGTCCCGGATCCCGCTCCCTCCCGATCCTCCCTGCCCGGGAGCCCCGCGCTGCGCAGC